CCTAACAGACCCATCAGCAAACTGGCTGCACAGGAAAAGGAATCCCTGTCTCTTCAGAGTCACCGTGCACATCTCTGGACTGTGAGCACCACCCGTCCTGTGAAGATGCAGATCGAGGTTCAGAGTAAGGGCTTTGAAGACTACCACACCTGGGACTCAGGTCCTGGCCATCAGGGGGGTCATGGGGAGGTGACAGTGTCTATGAACTTCAGTGTACTCATCTGTAAAATGGGTATAATAATCAGACTTCTCTCACAGGGCTGTTATGAAGATTGGAAGAGATGTTATATATGAAGTTGTTACCAGGTCACATCCCAGTCAGTGATCTGTTATGATTATTTCACTTATATCATCACCACCAAGCATTCCTGCCATGGCACAGGGTCCAGGGCACAGGCTCTGGAGCTAGGAGTCCCGGTCTTCTACTTCTGAGCCGTGTGGCCTTGGGCTACTTAGCCTCTCTGGGTCTCATTTGAGTTATCTATAAAATGGAAATAACTCTATCTACCTCACAGGGGTGTTGTGAGTTACTTCCTGAAAGGACTTAGACCCGTTCCTAGTACATGACAAACAGCCGGTAACGGTAGCTGCTGTTGATTTTGTTACTCCTATTTATAATACTACAATCACCCAGGCTCCAAGCTGCTTTAGAGGCATGGTTAGACAATGGCAGGGTCAAAGAGCTTCTGCAGTGGACTTCTTGGTAGTCCAGTGGTTAAGAATCCACGCTTTTACTCCAGGGTTCGAGGGTCCGATTCCTGGTTGGGGAACTATCTCCCACATGTTGCACAGTGCAGCTAATTTTTTTTTTTTTTTAAAGAGCTTCTGCAAGACTCCATTTAGTGGGGGGTGCAAATGGTGACCAAGCCCGCCTGATTCACTCTGAGTGAGCAGAAGGGATGGACTACATTTGCCGATGATAAGGGACAGTCCACTCCCACTTCTAAACCGAAACTGCAGGCGTCCAGCTGAGATTTGAGGCTGGCAAGCCACTGGGGCTCCCTGGCTTTTCAGACTTGCTCTAAGGAAAAAATGCTGCCCATAAAAGCTCATGCTTCATGCCAGATTAAACACTGCAGACATAGTTAATAACAAGTTACCGGCCATGGAAGAGAAAAAAAAAATCCATTATCTTGAAACCTAGCTTTCGCTGAAGGATCAAGGTGTTTTTGACTGAGCCTTTTGTGATGTGTACTTTCACTCCCAGGGATTCCTTGGTGGCTGAGTGGTAAAGAATCCTCTTGACAATCAGGAGATGCAGGCTTGATCCTTGGATCAGGAAGATCCTCTGGAAAAGGGAATAACTACCCACCCCAGTATTCTTGCCTGGAAAATCCCATGGACAGAGGAACAGGTCATGAAATGGTCAGGCACAACTCAGCAACTGAACAACCTTCACTCATAGCCTGGGATTCTAGGGTTTAAGATACACAGAGTTCACAACACTGCCTTCTCAAAAAACTACTTAATTTTCTAGCAAAATTTACATGCAACAGTAAGGGTCAGCAGCAAAAAGACTGACTTTCCAAGTCTAGTTAACAGCATGTCCTTGGTGTATGTGAAAGGCATTTAGGGTGAGGTCCTGTGGTGAAGGATGCTACAAACGGTGCTGCCAATATTAGCTATAATCTCCCTTCCAACACTGCCACGGCTGACAGATCCATGGAAACACAGGGGCTCAAAATGGATTTCTTTAGGCCTGTTTTCCATGCTCTTCTCAGGTTAATTAGGGAGAAAAGGAGCCCACAGAAACAGTTTCAAACCTAAAAATGGAAATCTGCACAGTTGCTGGATGCAGGGAGACACCAGAAGCCAAACATCCTGAGAGGCCAAAACCATGCACCAGTATATTTAGGATGAGAGAGGAAAACAAAAAATAAAAACTCAGATAACCATTGGAGACAGTCATGTGTGTCAAAGACTGTATTAGTGTGTTTAAGTATATGATCATTTCTTTCTATAGAAACCCTACAAAGGAAGTCCTATTACTCATCAAATGCCACAGATGAGGCCATTGAATCTCATGGAATTTAAGTGACTGCTTTAAGGCTGGATTTGAACCTAGGGTGTGTAACTGCAGAACCGGTACTCCAAACTATTTTTTTTTTTAATTTATTTTTTTTAATCACAACCATAGAACTCCAAACTATTAATTAAGTTAGAATTTGAAAAACCAGGGCTCAGGACAGAATTCCCAAAGATATTAATGGAAATGAAAGTCATTCAGTTGTGTCAGACTCTTTGTGATCCCATGGACTATACAGTCCATGGAATTCTCCAGGCCAGAATACCAGAGTGGGTAGCCGTTCCCTTCTCCAGGGGATCTTCCCAACCCGGGGATCGAATTCAGGTCTTCCATATTGCAGGCGGATTCTTTACCAGCTGAGCCACAAGGAAAGCCCAAAGAGATTAAAATTGGGTTGAAATTCTGCCCATCCCAACAGTTCACTCCCTTCATCTGTGCCATCCACAGGGTAGCCTCTGGCTTACCTACATGTGGTGACTGGAAATGAAATTGACTGAAATGAAATGAAATTTAAAATTCAGCTCATGGCTGGTGCACTTGAAATGTGGCTTGTGCAGCTGATGGCCTGAAATTTTCATTTCATTTCATCTTGATTGCTCAAATTTCAATAGTCACATGTGGCTTGTGGCTACTGTATCAGACAGTGCTGGTCTGGGCAATTTTTCTCAGCTCTGTCAGAAGTGGTTCAGGGCTGCTTTCCAAAAAGTTCTCAGAAACAGAGGGGCATTCGCTGCTTTGCCCAAGCAAGGATCTACAGAAAATCTTGAGGATAAATTACCTGCCTTTTCCTTAGGGTCGGAGACTACATGTTCTTCAAATATACTTAGTTGGTCTTTCCAACATTCTCCAACCTCTAGATCTCCTGATTTCCTCCTAAGTTACATTGTGAGGACAATCAAGTCAGAACGGACAAACCCAGGAACAACTGCCCTAGACAGTGGTCATGTGAGCACCAGCAGAGAGTTGTTCAAAATGCAGGTTCCTGGGCCCCGCCTCTACTGGGTCTGATACCCTGGGCCTGGAGGGGAGGCCCTGGAATTCATGCTTCAATCAAGCAGCCAATGATTCTGATCCAGGTGGTCTAGCTTTGAGAAGCTCCACTTCAGAGTCTGAATTACATACATATCTCCTGGCCTCTTAAATAATTATAGCACATAAATCTTTTGAGAACAGCACAAACTGGGCTGGAAGCCAGGCAGTCATCACTCTGTGCTAATTTTGCCCTTGTATGACATTAGGCAACATGCTTAGTCACCAAGGCCTCATTTTTTTCACCTGAAACATGGGGGTAAGGATACCTGCTCTGTGTCCTCCAAGACAAAGGAGCACACAGCTGTGAAAGCACCGGAGAGGATGATGAGATTAATAACACAACATACGCATATTCTACAATTCAGAGACACATTTTGCGTCCAGCAGCCAATAGGCTTTACATTAAAAAAAAAAAAAATCCAAATTTTTAACTTATTTGGGAACCTGCATGGAGCTCAGATAAGGTTGGCAGCCTGATGCGAGTTAAGAGCACTGCTCTGGGGTCACATACAGAGGTTTCAATCCCTGCTTTAAAAAGTTGGGTGACTTTGGGCAAGTGCTTCAACCTCTCTGGGCTTCAGTTTCTCCTACTCTGAATTGAGACTGTTAAGAGTCTCTCTCTTTCAAAGAGTTTTGATGATGTAACGGAGTAAATATTTATCAAGCGCTTGGAACAATGTTTGGCACATGGTGAGTGCTGCATCACTGTTAGTTGAATAAATAAACATTCCTGCAAGTGGCAACAACCAGCTGGAACCTGGTGGTGGCGGTCCCTCCAGAGAGGGCTGACATGCATGAGGCTGCCACAGTTTCCACTGGGACAGACACATTTGACTCTGGGATCCCTACTGGAAGGGACAGACATGTCTCCCTCCTGATGTCCCATCCACAAAAGGCAGAGACACTCAATGCTCCTTCAAGCAGCATTTCTCAATCTATTTGGAGCCAAGGACCAGTTTTCATATTTCAGCCCAGTGTGGCCTGGTATGTGACCCACCTGAGCAGGACTGACACCCAGCACACGCCACAGACAACTCACCCAGCGGTCTCTCACACCCTGACCAGTCCACACCTGAACCAGTAGAGACAAGCCCACTGAACATGCACTTGGATGTTGCAATAATGTCAAACTGCTCCCAGAGTGCGTAAACACTGTTAAAATCAGTACTTATCTCAGGGTGCACTGTGGACAGACCCGCTCCTCAGATGACACTTTGCACAGAGTCATCTTGCAGAATGCTGACATTGTCTGCGTGGGTATACAAAACAGCTGGACAATCTGCTTGGCAAGAGCAGGCAATGGATTGTCTGTCTTGTGTGTCTCTCACCACTTCTGTCCTTCTCAGCCTGCCTGCTTGCTCCTTATCTATCCTCCTTTCTTTCATCTTTATCCACACACTAAAACCAGCTCCCTAATGAGATACTGGAGCTCACAACCACCCACCCCTTCTCTTCAATATCGCTTTTGGCTGAGAGGCGCTCTCCTGCCCTCTGTGACCACATCCACAAACTCATCCCCAAGTCACTCTCCAGCTGCCCAGGACCAATGACTGACTGACATGGCTGAGCAAAGCATCAGTCCCTTTGTCCCAAGAAGGAACCCACCCCACAGTATGGTCCCACTCATCCTCCAGAGCCCCCTGTGGGCTCAGGCTGAAGCTCGATCCCAGCCCAGACACCATTTTCCACTTGGTTCCTCCCCTGTCCTTCTGTTTCTCTCACTCCTCTTCCTTGGCAGCATGTTCTCAACACATCACAGGCACCCTAACCCCGTCTCAGGCTCCACTTAGAAGGAATCCAATCAAAGGAGCCATCGGGGGGTTCACCTTTCTTGACAACCTGGTGGAGGAGGGCATGTGGTGGGTACGATGTAAAAATCCTGAGGACCAGCAGTCAGAGGACGCTGAGAACATTCTCAGGGTACCAGGAGACCAGAACCTACCTGTTGCGTTAGACAGCGCCAGCGACTCCATGGAGCCCCGCGGGGTCTGCTCAGTGGGCGTCATATCCTCAGTGTACTTCAGCGAGCTGATGGGGTGCCGGGTCCGACACTGCTGAGCGGACATGCCTCCTTCCTCCTCCTCTTCTTCCTCGTACTTAGGGACCGGGATGCTGCCCCGGGTTTCGCTGAAGCTCTGGCTGGACATGTCGCTGTAGCTCTCCTGGGACCGCAGCCTGCCCGGGTAGTAGTCCTCCCGGCACTCATTGATGAAGCTGCCACCGTGGCCCTTCATGGCCAGCGATGAGCTCCTTTTCGGGTTGCCGAAGTGCTTGGCCCACACATCGGGCTGGGCTCCAGCCCCCTGCCCGCCGGGGCTGTAGGAAGTTCTGATGTTGCACTGGCTGAGGAGCTGCAAGGGGCTCTGTGGCTGGCTCTGCTCCAGCTTGTTCCCGTAGTGGAATGGCTCGTCCCGGCTCCTCCAGATGGGGTCCCGGTTGAGGCTGGGCGTCTGGCTGGACAGGCTGAGCAGGTCCATCTGCAGCGACAGGGGGTCCACGTCGGCCGACAGCCGGTTGGAGCTCACCTGCAGCTGGCTGTGCTGGTTGAGCAGCGTCTCCTCCGTCTTGCCCTTGTTCTTGCCGATCTTGGCACTGCGCCGGGACTCCTTGGCCCGGGCATTCTGGAAGGCAGAGTCGGAGGAGTCTGAGCCGTTGGGGTCCTCGCCAGCGCTGCAGGCGCGTGAGCAGAAGATCTGGCCCTGTCTGGGGAGGAAGGGCCGCCCCAGCAGCGACTTCTTGCAGTGGGCGCAGCAGAAACAAGCCTCGGTGGCATGCCAGTGCTGGCCGTCGTAGGTCATCTGACCTTGGTCAATTCCTGGGAAAAGAAGGGACACGAAGAGGGTGACGAGCTGCTCAGAGCACTGCAACACAACGTGAAACATACAGCACCCTGGTTCGACTCAGGGTTCTAGATGCTGCAGAATAAAATGTCAATAGGTCGACTATCAGGCTCCCATGTAAACAGTATTCGTGTCTTATTATGACAATCGCTGTGTTTTACCAGTCAGGTCCTCTTTAACTCTCTGCCAGATCAAAGTAGCCTGTCCATGAATTCTTCTGCCCAGGGCACGTTCCTCCAGATAAACAGCAATAATGATACTAAGGTGTGAGAATCATTGCTTTAAACACTTTGCATATATGTGAACTCACTTAACCTCTCAACTGCAGGAGGCAGATCTCTTAATAGTAAGTCCACTTTTCAGATGAGAACACAGAGGCATAGGAGATTAAATAACTTGCTCAGTGTAGAAGAGCTAGCAATCACAGACGAGATCTGTACCCAGCACGTCTAGCTCCTAACCAGGACCTTGATAATCATCTCTTTCAGTCTACTTCATGGTCCTGTCCACCCTCACAGCTACCCTTGACCGTTGTCCATCCTCACCTGCTCTATTTTCTTCACAGCACGAATACTGCTTGACAATGAGCCACTATATATGTGCATCTATTAATTACTAAAAGTGAAGTTGTATGATGAAGTTTCTGGGGTGTCTCCATGAACATGGCCTGGGGCTCATGCCCCAGGGCCTCTTCACATGTGAAGTGCACAAGTGAACGTGAATCCCTTCAATAGCGTATGATACTCTAAGGGGTCATCAGTTTAGCAGCTCAGTGGAAAGGAAAAAAGTGGATTTCAGCTCATGGTAAGGAAAAACTTGGATGTGGTTTGTCAAAGACATCTCCTTACCACGAGCATGCATATCCCCCATGTAACTTCCTCCTTGTGCCAAAGTTGTGCCCGGCTTACGTAATCTTGTTACACCTGCTTCCGGGAATCTCCCACAGCCCTGGCTGTTCCGTCGTCGTCCACTTACAGGACTTAACCCCGTGGTGGGACACCATCTTCCTGCCACCCTTGGGCCATGAGCTTTGGGCAGGGCTAAAGCCACAGCTGGACTGGCACTGTTCAGTAAAAACACCACATCTCCTCCCAGCCCAAGAACTAGTTTAAGGTTGTGCACGTGACCTGCGCCAGGTCAGTGAGAGAGGCACCTGGGTCTGTTACTAAGGTAAACACACAGGGAGACCTTTTGACAGCAGTTACTAAACAGGCAGAATGGGAGCCGGAAGTGGTGGGGGCCCCGTCCCCCACCCCCATAGGAGTGCAGACCCAGCAGTGGCTGTGGGATTGGAGGGGACCTTGGCAAGACTGTTCATAGCTCGTGATAAATGTCTTCCCTGAGAGCCAGTATGGATGGGAACTGTCACCTGTGGTGGCTGACAGTCCTGAGTCTGAACTTTCCAGGAATAACCTTTAGAGACTTGTCTAGAGAGGGTATGAATAAGAAACGGGGAAAGGGAGAAGGGCAGGAACAAAAGGCCAATAGTATAGCAGCCTCTCCAGGCCCTCTCCGGGCCCTCTCTCTGTCCGCCTCACTATCTTTATGTCCCTGGTCCAGAGAGAGAGGAGAGTAAGGTCTGTTCTTCTCCTAGGAGCTCCTCCCCAAACTAAGGGGGTCTCTGCTTATTTAGGTGTCAGGCTACAGGGACTGGAAGGGGACATTTAGAGGGGCAGGAGAAGCCACAAGGGCACCCCAAGGTGAGCGAGACACTCAGTCAACCTCCTGTCACAGCGCCACTTCCCCAGGAGGAGTGAGAACTGGCAGGCATGGGGCTCGAGACAGCAGGCCCAGAGCTGGGGCGCCACACACACAATGGAATATACTCAGCAACAGAAAGGAGCAAAACTGGGTCATTTGTAGAGACATGGATGGACCCAGAGGCTGTCATTCAGAGTGAAGTAAGTCACAGAAAGAAAAACATATCATATACAAACATATATATGTAGAATCTGAAAAAAACTGATATGGACGATCTTATTTGCAAAGCAGAAACTGAGACACAGATGTAGAGAGGAAATGTATGGACACCAAGTGGGAAAGGGGGTGGGATAAACTGGGAGACTGGGATGGACATATATACACTATTGATGCCACGTGTAAGGCAGGTAATGAGACCCTGCCGTGAGCACAGGGAACTGCACTCAATGCTCTGTGGTGACCTGAATGGGAAGGAAATCCTCCCAAAGAGGAGATATATATATATATTCACACACACACACACACATATCTATATAGATGTACGGCTGATTCACTTTCTGTTTAGTAGAAACTAACACAACATTGTAAAGCAACTATATACTCCAATAAAAATTTAAAACAAAGCAAAATCCCCACAAAAACGCTTCCCTCACCAGGTTGTTGGAGGGAGCAGAGGCAGGCAGAACCCTCTAGTACTTAAGAGTGAGGCCTCAGGACTCAGACAAATACAGGCTCAAACCACAGCTCCACACCACGCCAGCAGGTTATAAAGACCCTGAAACCCATCAGCTTAGTACAGCCGCTAAAGCACTGTGTGACCCTAGGCAAGTGGCTTCACGTCTCTGGGCCTGCGGCTCCTCCACTAAACACTAAAACAGGGATGGTAACAGTACTTACTTCCTGGGGCTGCTGTGAGAACTGAGTTAAGATGCAGTCACTGCTTAGACTCTGCTAACTCTTGGTCTTCTTGTGTGCTCACGAGGTCTCAGCACCTGTCTCTCTCCACCCTGAGGCCTGCTACCTGGATGCTGTCCAAGAAAGAGTTGAGGCTGCCTAGGTCCTCATGTCCCCCGCCCCGTCCTCCTCGTCCCGAGAAGTGGAGCTGACACCCGGCTGCCTGGGGTCCTCGCTGTGAGCTCCAACTCAGCGTGGCCTCCCCAGCAGCTACAGCCTCACCGCTGCCTGTCGGAGGTGTGGAAGTCCAGTTCCTACGGCCTGTGCATCACCAGCTGCCTCTCTGTGCTCCTGCCAGGGAACACGCTCAGACGCAGCAGTGCGGGCCTAGTTCTGGGGGTGGGGGCCCCGCACAAGGCTGAGTCGCTGTGGCGAGAGTGGAGGATGAGGCGTGTTCCAAAGCAGCCCAGCCGGCACAGGAACGTGGTCCCTGATAAACATCAACGATGTCAGATGGTGCTCTGAACTGCTCCTGAACTCGAAGCATCTGGAAAAGGGCTCGGCCGTTCCACATCTAAGCGTTCCTTTTTTATTCCCTCTCTAAGCCCTTTAAGTACTTCTCTGAGGGTGTATATGTCTACTGCTGCTACAGCCTCAGTCTGTTTATTGGACTGTTTACTCTGCTGTGTGCAGGCAAAAGTACCGTTGCCCTGGCAACAGCTGCCTGATGCAGGGTCCGCGCTGCGCGGCTGTATAAATAGGGAATATTTGGATAATATGGTCAGAGCAGAGCACCCAGACACTGTGGTACGTATGATACACAGAGAGCACCCTTCCTCTGCTGCAGGAAAAGTATGTTCTACAGAAAAGTGGATTTAAGGGAAAAAAATATATCAGGGACAACATTTTAACTACAGCAGTGATAATACTGCAGGCCACAGTGGTCCCCCTTTCTGATAACGCATGGATGTCTTTTTATGGATTTCTGAGGGAAGGAGGAGGGAATGGCAATCAAAGCTAAAGAGGACAGAAACCGAAGAAAACAGAGGGAAAACAGAGGTGTGCATGCCATGGTGACAGACGCATTTTCTCTCTTCCAAGCTGCTGGGCAAAAATTTTAAGTGGCAGTTTCTGGAGAGGCTTTTCAGTCTCATTGAAAAGGGACAGAAGAAACAGAAATATGGACAAGCGGGGGGTGGCTGCTGTACGGAAGGTGTCTGTATGTTCTGCCCCTCTCAACCAAGCAGGCATCTCCCTGTAGACCCAGAGCCACGGTGAGCGTGCTGGGTCAGCACCTCACACTAGCTCTCCTGACCGAGTCCCACCCCCAACCCATTGTCCAGATCAAGATCCTCCTTTCCTTGTTGTTCAGTCGCTCAGTCATGTCTGACTCTTTGCAATCTCGTGGACTGCAGCACACCAGGCTTGCCTGTCCTTCACCATCTCTTGGAGTTTGCTCAAACTCATGTCCACTGAGTCGACGCTGCCATCCAACCATCTCATCCTCTATTGCTCCTTTCTCTTCCTGCCCTTGGTCCTTCCCAGCATCAGGCTCTTTTCCTTTCCTAGCTCTCAGAATAAAGGGAAGCATGTCTGTTTAACTGCTTTGACTTGTGCGAAACAGAAGCTGGTGGGTGCCCAGTTGAGGCGTCTGGCTGTGAGAGGCGAAGATTTCGAGGGTTGGGGAAAGGGGGATTTTCGTGACCACCCAGCTCCCAGATGGGAACACTGCTGGACTCAGGTCAGCACAGCACTGCTCAGCCTTGAGCCTGGCAGGGACCTCAGCTCGGAGGGCTCCACGGAGGTGGCTCTGAGCCCACGGGATGGATCCTCCAATGACAAATGACCTCTGAGGATACAGTAGGCGCCTCAAAGCTGTGATTTTTATCAGCACCCAAGCCCTTAAAATTATGAACTAACTTTTCATCTGACTGCATCGCTTCTGATAAACCAGGGAGACAAAGCCACCTCTTTTTGTTCCTGATAAAATCTTTTAAGTTAGGTAAAACTGGCTCCCAGACTGATGATCTCCACACCTCCCCACTATAGGTAAGGAGTTGGCAGCCTCCAGGCAGATTTCTTGGAACTGCACAAGCCACAGGAAGATCAGGCTGCTGGTCTCAGAGACATTCATCCATTGCCAACTTCTCTTCTCTTTTTAAAGGGCAGCTCATTCTCAAGGTGCCAGAATAGGCGAGCTGAGTGAAGATGCTCCAGATGCTGCATGATCAGGAATAGTGTTGAAGGGCTGAACGAATCCGTTACTTGAAAAGGGAAAATGATTTTTACCATCTCAAATCTGCCACTTATTTGAGGCGTTTATAGCTTCAGAGCTATTTGAGGTTCTCTTGCTTTGTTTTTTGGCTGGGCTGGCTTTTGCTGATTTCTCTCAGGACATGCATGCCAGTTGCCACTTGGTTTCTTTGACTATCTTTTCCCACCAAGAGGACCATTCTGTTTCCTCCTTCTGCTGATCCCTGAGGTCTTTCCGAGGAGGCCGTGCAAGACATCTGTTTATATTTTCCCCTCCTCTGAGACCTCTCCTCCTCTGCTTGGTAGTAAGACTGTCCTTCACGAAGCCCCACCTGGGGGTGGGTCTATAACTCAGGCAGACCAACAGGAACCCTGTATTCATTTCTTTCCAGGGGTGGAACAGATGACCTAATGGCGGGCTATAGCATTTCTATTTGGAGGACCTGACTTGGATACTGGAAAAGTTACGATTCCATCCTCTTTAGAGAACAGTGCTAAAGCTGGTATGTATTAGTGTGGGGGTCATTGTGATACCTTTCGAAGGCACCTTGTTTCCAAATGATGCCAACAGAAGGAAAGCTGAGACACAGAGCAAAAAACCAGATTCTCTTCAATCCCTTGATCCATCCTTACCTGAAACCAATTTTCTCCTTGGCTTCTCCAGTACTATGAACCAAGACATTTCCTTTTTCACTTAAGGGAGTATCAGTTGGATTGCCATTGCTTGCAACCAAAGGGACTCTAACTATACCAGACACAGAGGCGATCAGTCAGAGCAGGACCGAGACGAGCACCGAGCGCGGCCTCACCTATGTGCTGGGCGCAGGTGTCGCAGTACTCCGCATACAAGGACTCAAAGCAGTGGCAGCAGTAGGGCCTCCCCTCCTTCATGATGTAGCGCTGGCCGCCCAGCACCGTCTCGCACTCGAAGCAGCAGAAGTGCTTCATGTGCCAGTGTCGCCCCTCAGCTTCTGTGCACTCGTCTGCAAAGATGATCTGCAGGTGGAGAGGCCGAGAGGTCAGTGGGGAGGAAAGAGCTGTGAGAACACACCGCAAAGGAGGAAAGCTGAGAGGGCCCCGGACTAGGAGGGGAGGAAAACTGGCCCCGCCCACAAATGATTAAAAGAAGTAGATATGTATATATTTACTCTATACCTATATCAGTTTCCACATGTGGATTTTCCTAAAGCACATTTAAACAGTTTCTGACCTGGCCAGTGATTAATTTAACCACAGTGTATTCAGGCAAAGAATAGTCTACTGAAAAGAATATCAAGCAGGATTAACAGCTGACAGCTCATGGACATTTTGGCCATTATCTGTTCAATTTGGGTTATATATGGTATTTTTTAAAATGAGAAATGTCATATAAACACCTGGGATCCTGGTTTCTCTTTTGAAAACACAGCATTTGGCAACGTGTGCTATACATTCCTGCATGGTGACAATGCAAGGGGTTGTTGCTTTCAGATGAGTGATGAGTTCTCCAGTTTGTCATATTTTTCACCACTTGCTGTTACCTTAAAATGAGTCACCTTTATTTACGGTAACCGCCTAGCCCTCAGAGGTATTCGTGTTTTGACCCCTGAGATAGACTTGTTTTCAATTTCAAAGCACAGATTTAAGAACTTACTACAAACTGCAGTAATCAAGGCAGAAATAACCTCAGACATTTATGGCCAAATGAGGATTGACAAGGGTGACAAGGATATTCAATGGAGAAAAGAACAGTCTTTTCAATAAACCTGCCTGGTACACCTGAATAACTGCATGCAAAAGAATAAACTGAACCCCTACCTCACACCACATATAAAAATTAACTCAAAAGGGATCAAAGACCTAAATGTAAAAGCAAAAAAGTTACAAAATGTCTAGAAGAAAAGTAAAGATGTAAATTTTCAAAAATTCAGTTTTCAATTAGGCAATGGTTTCTTAGCTATGACGCTAAAAGCACAGCAACAAACGAAACAATGGAAGCTGGATTTCATTGAAATAAAAACTTTCATGCTTCAAAGGACATCATTAAGAAAGTGAAAATATAACTACAGGATGGGAGAAAATACTTACAAATCACATATCTAAGTGACTAGACTCCAAAATATATAAACAAGTTTCACAAGGACACAATAAAAAAAAAAATCACCCAACTGAAAAAAATATGCAAAAGATTTAATGAGACATTACTCCCCAAAAGATATGCAAATAGCCAACATACACGTGGAAAAAAAGATAAACATTATAAGCCATTAAGAAAAATCCAATCAAAACCACCATGTGATGTTATTTCATACCCACTAAGGTGACTACAGGGCTTCCCTGCTGGCTCAGAGAGTAAAGAATCTGCTGCAATGTGAGAAACTGGGTTCGATCCCTGTGTTGGGAAGATCCTCTGGAGGAGGGCATGGCAACCCACTCCAGTATTCTTGCCTGGAGAATCCCATGGACAGAGGAGCCTGGTGGGCTACAATCCATGAAGTCCCAAAGAGTTGGACACGACCGAACTACTAGGAACAGCATAGCACAAGGTGACTATAATTTAAAAGACAGACAGTAATAACTACTGAGGATAATGTGAGAAATTGGAATTTTCATTCGTTGATAGCTGCGAATGTAAAATGGTGTAGCTGCTCTGGAAGAGAGTTTAGATCCCCTCAAAAAGTTAAACATAGAACTACCATATGGCCCAGCAATTCCACTCCTGGATATAAATTCAAGAGGACAGAAAATATATGCCCACAAAAAAACCTGTATATGAATGTCCACAGCAACTTTGTTTAAAACAGTCAAAAAGTGGAAACAACTTAAATGCCCATCAATTAATAAATGGCTAAACAAAATGTGACATATACAGTTGCCTATTATTCAGTCATAAAAAGGAAAGTACTGACACATGCTGTAACTCGGGTTAACCACAAAAACATCATGCTAAGTGAATGAAGCCATACATGGAAGGTCACATGTTGCATTAATCCACTTACACAAAACGTCCAGAATATGCAAATTCATGGAGAGACTAGATGAATGGTTGCCAGAGCTGGGGGGGGGGGGTGGGGGGGAAGGGGAGAAAGGGGAGTGACTGCTGATGGATCTGGGGTTTCTTTTTAGATGATAAAAATGATCTGGAATTAGGCAGCAGCAATAGCTGTCCAACTTTGTGAATATACTAAAAACCACTGAATTGCACACCTTCAAAGGGTAAATCCTATGCTGTATGAATTAGACTTCAGTAAGCACAAATTTCAAAGTGCTTTAATCATCCTACTTCATTTCCCATCAGATAAAGTATTACATGCGCTCACTTCCAGATGGGGGAACTGAGGCAGGTAGGGAAAGGTGCTGCCTAGAATCACAAACTTGGACCAACTACCTGCTGAGAGCGTCTCTTATGAACATCAGCAGTAGCATGAGAATCCGTATTAGTTAAGACTGATAGATTTCCTCCTAGAAGAATGAGTCTCTGATGGGCAGTTTGTAAGGAAGAAATGCCACGTACAGGTGGCCTCTGGGTGACAAAGTGGAGTGTTGTTTACAGGGTCCCACATAGCCTTACAGGGTCAATAAAGAACCAAAAGTATATTTTGCATAGGAAGAACCCCCTGCCCAAGACCTTTTCCCAAATTATTCCTGTAAAAGTGGTCAAGCTTAGAACATTATCCTTCCTGCTCCCAACTTTTATACTAGCCCAGGTTTTCTACCTTCCAGCTCGCAGATCACACCTGGGCGTACTTCCACTGGGAGGAAAGACGAGGTATGAACCCCTTGGGCCCAGCCTGCTCTCTGACCCGGGTGAGTGTATGGGGCAGGAGAATCCTAATGGAGCAGCCATCTGCCCCGGAATCCTCACCAGGACTTTCGTAGACTATGGGACAATCACATCACGCTACTCTTCTCTTCTCACCTAAATCTGCTCCATCGAATCTCAGGACACCCAAAATTTTAAGATATTCAGAAATGACACATTATTACTCATGATGACTGCTCCCTTAGATTTGGGCTGAAATCGAAAGCTCCACAACAATACCTCCCCCTCACCTTTTTTTAAGAGTTCTGAAATGACCTAGTGCCCTAGAGCAGCCTATGAAACTATCAAATTCAGTAAAGCAGGTCACAGTCCTGGACATTCTAGCAACCAGGGATGGGGCTAGACCTGCTCTCAGAAGAGTTAATAGGAGAGGCTGGAGTGGCCTATGGTTTTCCTCCACGCAGGAACCACACGGCAACGTGCTGGCTATGGTGAAACCCAGGGGGACAGCGGGGCTGCGGGCCCCACAGATCGGAGCCAGCTCTGACCTCGTCACAGGCTGCGCAGCGCGGCTTCAGGCACTCTGCGTGGTGCCTGCCACAGTAGATCTTCCCATCCTGGTAAAAGTAGATCAAATCCACCAGGAGCTCGTTGCAGACAGTGCAGATAAAGCAGGGTGGGTGCCAGCTGACACCGTGGCCAGCGCGTGATGCAAACACAGCGATGTCCCCGCCATTGATCTGGCCTCCACACTGTGAGGTGAACAGAAACAGGTCAGTACGAGGAACAGCAGCCCCCAGCTCTCCGCGCCATGCGGAAAAGATGCACGACCACCAGCGCCATTAGCTCGTTACTGAGCACTTACTTTCAAACGAGTTACTGTGCTACCTGCTTTACACGTGGCAGGGGGGGTTTTCTTGCCCCCCCCCACCCCCCCATCCCTTCCTAAGGCCTACAGGTAAGATGAAGATCATTGTCACTGAGAAAATAAAGAATCACAGATGTGGGAGAGAAAGGCAAGGTCTGCCAGCGCAGCGACACAGAAGAGCTCCGCTGACAGGAAGCAAACAGCGGAGGTCTCATTATCTCTGAGATATTGCAAACTCCCTGCCGGAGGCCCGGCCTCATCAAACGCCTGCAGCAAGAAGCTGTGTGGCGTGGGGGAGCGAGAAGGAAGCCTGCAGGACTTGGGGAGCTGGTGGGGCCTACACTTGGGGCGGTAGGGAGTGGGTTCATAAAAACATGCCCACCTTTCACCATTCAGGTTTCTCCAGAAGCCTACAGGCATGCTTCCGGCCTGCTTCCTCTGACACGTTTAAACACAGTCCCAAATGAAAAGGTTCCGGTCCTAAGGCCAGGCTATGGCAAAGGCTGCTTTCTTCTCCCTCTCCTATCTTCCCACTCATTCCCAAAGTTCCTTCCCCTGCCCAGAAAGGAGCAAGGCAAAATCCATGATAACCCATGCTTACAGCTGGGCTCAAGATAAAACGAATAGAGTCTGAGGGTCTTGGAGGGAACAATAAAGTGTGAGGCAACAGGTCTGGGGGAGGCTCTCTGCTGATCAAGGCATTGGCCTGAGAGTCCAGCCCCACCTGAGAGGCTGACTCTGGGGGCGACATCTGAGGAGCAGAATGGCCACCCCTAGACCTTTCCCACACACTGCCATCAAAAGCGCTGAGATGCTTCACAGAAAATGAAGTCCAGGTCTCATGGAGTAGTCTCTGGGAGCTCATTTATGCAAGTGACCAGACATAAGAAAGACATTACATCACAGAAAGTGATACCCCGGCCTTGTGTGGTAACATCAGCAGAGCTGAGGTATGTGTATTGTTAGAAGATAAACCAGGGGGCACATTAAAGCTTTCCAGTTTATTTGCTCCAACACTGATTTGAATTGGGTAGCAAGCATCAAACCCAAGGTGGCTGGGAGTACTCCAAGGACAGAAACCCAGGGGGAGAGTTTTATAGAGAAGTCATGGAAGTGAAGGCAAGGAAAGTATTTCAGTGACTACAGAGAGTAAGTGGTCCCCTTATTTGGGAAAGCCTGGCTGGCTGCTTGTAATTGGTTATTCTTCAGTGTCATTTTCTCAGATTCCGGTACCCTGACTGGTTCAGGTTTTGGTCTGCTGATACAGGCTACCAAGGCAATAGAGCCACCCCAGTCTAACGGCCTCCTCGTTTAATTACCGTAACAATACAGAATCCCATTTCACCCTCACCATGATTCTACAACCTAGGTATTCGATACCCCCATTTTGGAGATGACAAAACTGTTAGGAAAAGCAATAGGGTCAAGGTCACCTGGCAGAATCATGTGTCACTTACATCTTTCTGCCTCCATGCTGTCATCACTATTCTGTATCACTCTCGACATCTGCCTACGAAATGCCCAACTTCCCTTTTGCCTCAGGGGAGCCCTCCTGGGCTGGTCAAGGAGAACCACCCAAGAGTGGCAGAGGCTCTGAATGGAGCACAAGGAACCTCACATCCTAACCTCTGACCACCTGCATCTCAGGGGTGGGTGTCAAGGATAAAGACCCCATTGTCAATTCTGGTGCTTTGGCTCCCCTGTTAAGTAGCATCTCCATTTCATCCACTGAGCCTTCCAAACTTCTCTCTCTGAAATCCCTCCCCAAAAGGGCCCCCAAATAAATGGCATGCCCTCTGCTCAGGTAGTATGTTGCTTTTTCTTCACCAGTTCAGGTCACGTATCCTCTTGCAATCTGTGCCTGAATGGGTCCCTAAAGTGCTTAAGGAGCTAGAGGGGGCCACTCTTTGAGCAGCAGGACTAAGAAAAGTGCTCAATATATGACCATCCACCCCAGAAGGCTTTTGGAGGTCAAGAGGTCAGGGAGGGTGAACCCAGGCAGGCCTGATTCCCACCCTGTTTTCTTAAAAATCCTTCTCCACCATGCCCGGAGCACTCTACAGGAGACTAGAAGAAAAAACAAATCCAAACTCTCAACTCAGTGAGGTCCTAGAAAAGAATGTGGGAGGCCCTAGAAAGAATGCGGAGGTCCATGCACTTTGCTAAAGAATCTTCAGACCCAAGGAGATGACCATCTATCATCTCTTTAAAGGGCACTGGTCCTGGGATGATCCTGGGAAAGAGGGTGGCCACGGTGCAGGAAAACTCCACTTTCTAAAGCACTCCTTTTAAAATATAATTCCATCATGTCCTTTCTCTGCTCAAATCCCTCCAGTGGCCCTCTCTCTCCTTCAAGAGGCTGACACAGCCCTCCATGAAACTGGACTTGACCGGTGCAGTCTCTTCCTCTGCCCCTCCTGCCCTGCCACACGGGCCAACCTGCCACTCCTGGACCATAAGAGAAACGCTCCTGCCACAGCGTCTGTGAACGTGCTGTTCCCTCACAGCCCCGTTTCCCCGCCGTCACATGACTCCCTCCCTCAGTTTCCGACTGTCTCTGTGGAGCCTTCCCAGCCACTTCACTGAGAACTGCAGCCACCTCACACTCCCAGCATTAACTCTTTTCCCCACTGCATTTTCTTCTCTTATTTACTGACAATATTGTCTGACTTCTCTCCTAGGACAGAACTCCTTCCAAGGGCAAGACCAAGCTTTCAAACCATTTGCTCACAGCTGTATCTCCCAGGCCTACCAAGTAGGCTCTCAAGAAAATAACTGCTGAATGAATGAATCAGGGAAGGGATGCCTGAGTGGCCCCCCGGGCACGGCCCAGACCACGCGCTCACCTGTTCACAGATGGCTCCCGTCATGGTGACCGGGAAGGGCCTCACATTGCCGCGGCCCAGGTTTTCACGTTTCCTCTGGTTACTGAAGAGCTTCAGCTCCCTTTTCTCTTCCTCATCCAGGGAGTTGCAGTAGCGAACCTGGACAGACACACAGGAAGGTTGGGGATGGTGGTGGTGGTCATCTTTTGCTCCTGAGGATTCCTGAAGCCCTGGCCTCAGACTTTTTTCTTATTAAACACACGTGTACTAGGTTTCACTGTCCTGGCGGGCACTTGAATACCACCAGGCTTGAGGCTATTTAGGTGAGTGTCTACCCGAGATTGTTGACCATCAAAAGAGCTTCCTAGAGGCTCAAAACTCAGGAACACAAGTCTCAGACAGGCCAGCGGTTGGCACCTGTTTCTCATGCTCACTGTCCCTCTCTGCTCACCACACTGAGAGCCACATCACTGGGAGAGCTTTGCTGCTAATCAACATCTGGGACTTTCTTCTTCTACAAAGTGATGTGGATCTTCAAATTGATCACCATACTCTCACTCTCAGATGGTAAAGCATCTACCTGCAATGTAGGAGACCTGGGTTTGATCCCTGGGTTGGGAAGATCCCCTGGAGAAGGAAATGGCACCCCACCCCAGTACTCCTGCCTGGAAAATCCCATGGACGGAGGAGCCTCGTAGGCTACAGTCCATGGGGTCGCAAAGAATCTGACAGGACTGAGCAACTTCACTTTCACTCTCACCTCCATGGGCCCAAGGAAATGATCCCTGACACCAAAGGATGGCCTCAGGCCAACGAGCCAGAATTGCGGTCAACACGCTCATGGCGTCTGCTTCCCTAAATGAGATGAGAACCAAGGTGTGAGCCTGAGAATTTGGTTCAGAGCTCTCTGTTCTCTCAGGAAGTACTTGCATGTTTCTCTGTGTGTAGGAGGGAGAGGGCTGCTCATTGGGCTTTCATTAACAACTTGCATAAGAGATTTTCCTTCTCGTTCAACACAGAAACTCACTAAAATTAAGGTAGGGACATTAAAGATATTCAAATCTGCTAGTTCCCATTCTCTTTTATTTATGCACACCTTGGGAATTTTGCTGTAATCTTGAACTACTATTTACTTAATAATGTTTTAAAAAGTAATTCTTTTTTTTACTTGAATACATTTACTTGAAAAGAAAGTATATTATGACTATAAATAGAAAAGCAATATTGTGAAAAAATAGGGCAGTCATAAAACTAAATACAAGAATGAAAACAAAACCATACTGTTGGCTTCTAGCTGGTTACTTTTGCTTATAGGAGATTCTAAAACGGAGGTTCTCAATGCTGTTACTCAAAAATGGAGATTAGTAGGAGTTGGAGAGGTGTGAGACACCTGCCCACTCAAACTAAAATTTCCCCCATGACCACTGAGCCACAAGGAATGAAATACAGTTAAAAAAGGGAGAGAGTCTCATTATGTGGTTCAGTATTATTTACTATCATGTCCTTGTCTCACCCAAAGTCATGGATCTAGACATTTTGGGACACATGGATCTAACCCCACCCTCTGTCTTACTTCAGAATAATCTGGACATCAAGAAAGTTAACTAAATTGCCTGGATACTTTGTCCTATTATAGATGGTCAAAGGGCAACCTTTGAACTAGGACTAGTTTGAAAACCACTGAAGCTGTATACATCAAAACTGTCTAACCTGTATGAAAAAGGGCATAATCAAATATTTACTTTAGAATCACCCTTTGTCCTTTAAAAGGCCATGTTGAATGGACAAATCTGTCCATTGGGTCACATGTAAGCAATTTTCACCAGTAGGAAGAAAAACTTTGAAGGGTCTATTTTCATGAAGTCACAACCAACCAGAAACAGAAATAACAATGAAAAAACAGAGAGGAGTAGGTAAGAGGAGACCACTTTCCTCTATCAAGTAAAAAAAAAGAAAATTTGAAAAAAAGAGTCTTCATGTGGAGAATGTACTGCCATGATCTGAATAACCCAAGGAATATGATGACACCACTGACAGTTTATGGACATGCTTTGAAACATAGGCACACCCCTCCTGCTTGTAAAAACCGGCATTTTCACTTTCAAATTAGTAACCTGGGCATCAGGTTACAATGCTTGCTTTCCTCTTTAAAGGAGAAAGCATTATTTAAATCTGTTTTATGAAGTCTGAAATAAACAACAGGAAGGGGAATTATGACTCCCTTTCTAGGGAGTTGCTTCAGTTTTTAAGCTTTTGCTCTGCTTATTCAAATTAATTTTTGAGGCTCCTGGTTTATTCCTTTTATTCAAATGTGGGAAGATAAAGACTAAAAAACCACACACTTATTTCCTCAGGGACTGAGCTCGTGGGTGGGGGCAGCTGGTAAAAACCCGGGTCCAGCTCTCTAGAGGAGTTTTAAATTTCTCCTTTTACCTTGAAATTATGGCTTTCTTTAAAACACAATTAGAGTTAAGTAGACAACTGGATTCTATAGGATCACTACTTTTAAAAACCAGATACATGAACATTAATTTCTAGTTTGCAAACCTAAACCTCCCAAGCATGACGACCTTTTAAAAACACAAATTTCCTTTTAGGATCAATTTGACTTCAAAGATGATAAATGCCTGCTTAGAGTGCCCTTGTCTGGGTTCAGAAAAAAAAAAAAAACCAATCTGCAAGTTGTATTTTCAGGAGTAAAAAGGATAACCTTGGCAAGCTGGATTGGAAATAACAAAAACACAGATGTTCACAGCTGCAAATCTGGACATGTAACTTCTACAGCAGTGTAACGTGGAAAACCTACACACTCATTCACTAAGAAAAGATGCTGAAAACTCTAAGAGAGTCACAAAGTTTGTGCTGGGCTTAAACTGCCCAGGGAATCTCTTTCATCTAACATGTTCAGCCAACTGGCATCACATACTCTTCAACTAAGAAAACCTGGACTTGAACTTGTAAAGTTTAGTGCTCTCTGCCCCCAGTAGTTAGTATAGTGCCAGGCACAAAGGCAAATCAACCCCATAAGATTCTGCTTTTCAGTTACCCTTTCCAGAAGGCGTCTGACAGTTTCTTTTACCTCTAACGAAGGAAACGAAAACCTAAAATAAATTGCCCGAGTTTTTCCTTGGTGATCTCACTGACTGCAGCATTCTGATGACGAAAAAGTTAACAATTCGCTGAAAGTTCTAAGGCTTCTTCTTCTTCTTTTTTTTTAGTTCTAAGGCTTCTGAAGGCCCCTCTAACCCCTTACCTCATTGTCATGCGGTGGCAGCTGGTGTAATAGTTGCTTGATTCGAAGTTTCTCTCCAGGACTGTTGACATAGGGGACTTTCTCTTCTGGGAGACAGCTGTAGTACTGGTGAACCTGAAGGATGGGAAAGCACATGGGTAACTCACCCATTCTTCAGACCACCTGCCCCTTCCCACATCCTGGGGAGATGGTTCCCACAGCAAGACGCAATCTGCTTCCCACTGTCTCCACCCTTCGTGAAACTCCACAGCCTAGGAGTTTCTTGCTGCAAGCAGACACATTTATCCTTGAAGAAAGAGTCCCGCAAATCTCCCATGTCTTGGGGCTTTTCCTCTCTCTTTAAGGGAGAAACAAAGCCAGCAAACTTTCCTAGAAAAAGAGATTTCAGCAAACATGCTGATGACCCCAGGGGCCAGGGCTTTCTCAGCAGGCTCCCTGAGAGCTGGCTTTACCATTTTCTCTCTGTGTCTCCGACATGTAACCTGCCCTCCCAGCCAAAAGGATGTGTCAGTGCCTGTCTTGGCGCTGGAGTCTTTGGCACTTGGAGGACTCTTGGGTCCCTCAGCCTCCACCTACACTAAAAGCCCTCTAGGTTTTGAGCTTTTTCTGAGGACAGGCCAGAAGATCAGGTCTGTTAAAAAGTCACTGAATTCAGGATACAGAATGTGTAATTAAAGGTCATCATCAATGTGTTTTTTTTTGGGGGGGGCTACATCTTAGAATGCTCCTGTTTACAGCTGTTAGGACATATTCTTTCAGTCTCTGAGGCTCATTCAACCCTAACGACGACTTGGGAAAGTACTAAACATCTAATTTTGTCTGAGAAAAGAAAACAGACATTCTACCATCCAGTTGCATGCAAGCTAGGGGAAAAAAACTGGCCAAAACAGAAGGTATGCTTTATATAGGAGAGATTAAAAAAAAAAAAAATTCCCACAAGCTCAGATGATATCATGGAAAATACTTTTCAACTATCTCTAAGCATTACGACCAGCTCTTGTGAAACAAGGCATTCATTCAACAAAATGGAGAAGACAGAAGACATGGGGTCCTAAATTCACTGTATTCATTATGCTCCTCAACCATGGTCACATTCCCTGGAGTTTAGGGAGCCTTGGATATGACTACATGTTTTGGGAATGCTGGGGTGAAGAGTTGTGAAAGCTCTGTCTACTTTGATCTCCAGAAATGAAATCATAAGTGTTAGAAGAGAGAGGAAGAAGGCTTTATGATGACAAAGCCTTAAACAAAATGTGAAAGCCATCCTTATTTTTGTTAACAAATGATCGTAACCATTCACCATCATGTGCATATCATCCTCTTAATCAAATCCCAAAGGCAAACATAAACAGACTTCTTGTCCTAGACTAGCTGACTTTTGAAACCCAGGGCCTTGCAACCCCTCCCTGTAGGCACTGGTAGGGAGCCAGGGCCTGGAATTCAGGTTTTGAAGGCAGCCCACGGGTTACCAGCACTCTCCTCTGAGAAGACATATGAGCTCAGATCATGAGTTAGTTTGGGATTAGAAGCTAGCGATGAGCCCATCACAGACTGGCACAGCATTGCGTGCGCAGGAGAACTGCGGTCCACATGCTCACCTGTAAGGGCCACAGATAAAGCAGCAGCTACAATATACTGGGGGATGGGTTTTGCCTCCCAGGTCAAAAACTGACAGGTGGAAAGGGCTTGTGGCATCATCACTTTGTCATTCTCACAACTCCCATGATAGTCACCGAACATTAGGGGTAAATGCTAATATAAAATGAATCACTGTATGGATAAGCAACAAAGTCCTACTGGATAGCACAGGAAAATATATCCTGTGATAAAATCAAAAAGAATATGGAAAGAATGTATACATATGTAGACCTGAAGACCAGTTTTACACAACACCATATATCAACTATGCTTCAATAAAAATTTTTTAAAAAATGCATCATACTGTGGATGCATGATCATGAAGAGTCTAATGTGAGCTCCACTGACCTTCCTGGCAATCACCCCTTATCACTCACACAGCCCTGTCTCCACTGCCCAGAGCCTTCATCTTCTGAACTGGTGCCTTGAACAAGCCCTGACTGCTATGGTCCAAGGCTGACCCAGGCTGGAGTCTTCCCTGTATCTTCTGCAGCCATGGCCAAGTAGATCTGAACCCCGCAGTCCTGGCTTTGTCCTTACCCATCCCTGTGTTTCTGAGGTTAAAAACTCTCAGAATCCTTATCATATGATTGTGGCAATTAAATGGGAATGGAGGCAAAGTATTTAGCTGGCGATAACAATAAATAATAAGAATACACAGCAGTAAGTATATCGTGCAGCCTGGTATGCTTCAAATGGGACAATCCAGATGTTCGTGGCCTCCCTTCCATTTTAAGAGGTAGGCAACACCCACCGCTGGCTTGTAGAGTGAGACCAAATCTGTGAAGCTCCCACTTGCAATGGGTCTAAGAAAGAAGGTTGTGAGGAATAAAATGCTATTTAAGCTAGTTTGGTTTCAGGGGGTAGAAAGGTAACTTATATAAAAAGACGCGTTTTCTCAAAAACCCCATGAGGAAATGGAAACTTCCAAAGGAAAGTGACTGATAAGGGATTTCCCATCTCTCTAAGGCTGGTGTCCTTTGCTCTATTCTTTCCTCTCAGCAGATCCCCACACGACTGGGAGTTGACACAACCTCACTTTAGGAGTCCACCCTAGACTGACGAGACTTGCTCAATTCCAGTTCCTTATGGGAGGCTCTTGGGTGAGGATCATACCTGCAGCCTGGACTGGAGAAGTTTCAGGCTGTTTTAAGTGCTGTGTGCATGCTAAGCTGCCTCAGTTGTGTCCGACTCTTTGTGACTCCATGGACTGTAGCCCACCAGGCTCCGCTGTCCATGGAATTCTCCAGGCAAGAATACTGGAGTGGGTTCCCATGTCCTCCTCCAGGGGATCTTCCTGACCCAGTGACTGAGCCTGTGTCTCTTATGTTTTCTGCATTTGCAGGTGGGTTCTTTACCTACTGGAGTGCCGCCTAACTGGAGGATAGAGAGTCCCAGTGCATGACTGGGCTAAGGGGGAGGAAGTGATGGAGAGCTCTAGAGACACTTAGGTGGTAAATAAATACCTTAGTGCTCCGAGGCCCACCCTAAAGACTGAGTTCTTAGGTCTGCAGGGGCAGTGGCTCTACTCTTTTGAAACATCCTTCTTGGCTGGACATCTTGTGTTGCCTTTTATAATTTAAGTCTACTCATCCCCACCACTGAAAATGTATCTTTTCTACTAGTATTCCAGTAATTCCTTGAATACAAAGTGTTTTAAAATAATTTCTCTCAAGGCTAGCAATAATTTGGTGGATGACTTCAAACAATAGTTGGGGGGAGACTTAAAAGCTTCGACTCTTTGCCACCCCCTCTACCCCCACCAGGGTCCTCTGTCGATGGGATTCTCCGGACAGAACTAAAAGAGCTTATCTAGTTAGATGCTCCATTATTAAACCAAAGCAGCTAACACTAACTAACAGCCTACCAAATCGCTCCCATATTACATGGGAGGTAATGTGGCTTGCTCTCAGGGAGGACAGCGAGTCGGTGCTTCGCCACTTTCGAGGCTCTTCAAAGCCTGTTCAAGCCCAGCGGGAAAAAGCATCGCTTTGTGCTGCCTTCCATGTCTCTTCCTGGTGCTTAGGAGCTGGACTCTGCAGGCTGTTCACCGAGTAAAGGGAATTAGCAGACAGATGGGAAGGACGGAGGGATGGCTTCCTTTCCCCATCTGTCTCTGGCTGAACATGGAAATGCGGCATGCATGGAAATGCTCTGGCATCTTCCATAATAAAACTACTGTATAGCTCAAAACAAACACCAATCATACCAATGGGAAGGGGAAAATATTGAATATACTTTCTGGCACTACAAAAATTAAATTTGGCACCACCCCTGAAAACCCTGCAGATTGCTCATTTTAGCCCAAACACGTTTCTCTTGTTAATTTTTACAAGTAAATAATCAAATCCAATAGAATTTTGTCACCGATGATCACTACCAAACCATTATCTGACAGGTTGATGATGTGATTTTTCCTCCTGTTATATTCAGTCTATTTCTCCAAAAGCAGCTCTGTGGCATGTGCCTGGGACTTCGCTCCGGTTACAGATTCCCAGGTAGAGGTGCCCTATGACTGCGACCTGGGTGTAGCCATACGAGGTACATTTCCTCCAAACAAAAGCATGCTGAGCACAATACACTGGCTTAGGAAAACGAAATAGCCGAAGGCCTTTATTTAAACATGTTACTCTCAACAGTGAGGTTTGGCAATAACTTCAGTCTGTGTCAAGACGGATTGTCAGAGCTTTAGCCAGTGTGCAAAGAAAGTCGACGAAGCAAGACCTCGCCCAATTGGGAAGACTGGGTTTTTCAGAAGGAACTGCACATTTGATAGCATTTCTGCTGGAGCAGAGATGGAAGCCAAAAAGTCAGCGACTACTCGTTGGAGAGAAAAGTGCTTTACACAGGAACAGTGCTTCTCAAATTGTAGCTTCCACCACAACCACATGGAAGGCTTGTTGAAATACACATCTCTAATTCAGAGGACCTGGGGGTTGGGGGCGATCATTTGCATTTCTAACCACCTTTCTGGGGATGCCCCTACTATTGGTTCAGGGAGCCTATGTTAAGAATTTCAGAGTTACTCATGTGTTTTCCTTCAACAGCCAACCCATGAGATTACCAGATATCCCAGGAGACGCAGAGGAGGCAAATGAAGTTATATGCTCTCACTCAATTTTGTAGGTGTCTCCCTCTCTATATATGTACTTAAAAAGGAGTTCACCAGCTCTGGCAAGAATGAGAAATCCTAAAGGCAAAGAGCACAAAGTTTGAGGTGCTACATTATCAATTGTCCCTCACTGTCTCAATGAAGGAAGGGATCAAACAATGTAGTTTTTAATTGAGTGGTTCTTATGCTCCAGTGTTTTTATATGTGAACCTTCTCCACATCCATTTTCTATTCTTCCTTAATTAGAATACCATTATTTTACTTACAGCATCAATATATTCAGCTCAGAAAAACATTTCTGTACCTCTGGAGGAACAACATGTGGCCATGTGAATAAATTCCGGCCAATGACATGTAAAGATGT